GATATAATTATTATTCTTAATATCCTCTAGAAAGACTAAATATTCTACCGTTAAAGTTTTAAATATTTCGCGGTCGAAGTAGGCTTTTTCGTCTATTCTAATTAGCCCTTTTAAATATTTCACGGTGTAATGTTTGGGTCATTACTAATAGGCTTAATGGACTGCGCCATCTCCGCCTTGACTAGTATAGACGTCCTTCTCCCACCCTTCGTCTCCTTCGTCTGGAGAGGGAGCGAAACTGACATGAAAAGAGCAAGATAGGCGCAGATTGATACTTATTACGCATTGTCCCACCGCTGCTTTCCTTCTTTTAGGAGGGTTGGCTCGACTGAGGTATTGTGGATGAAATAATGGCTCCCGCCACGCGCTACGCGATCTTGGTCGGAGTGAACTGCTACCCGGAGCAGCCCCTCAAAGGTTGCGTCCGTGATGTCCAAGAGATGGCAATATATCTCGCCAAATGGCCAGTCACCACTCATATTCAATGTTTCACCGCAACTCAAGCTGACAACCCACAATCCCTCGGCCCCGCCGAAGACTCGAAATCGTGGCCTACCTACAACAACGTCAAATCTAGCATGAAGAGGGTGACATCACTGGCAAAGCCTGGCGACTTCGTATATATCCATTATTCTGGCCACGGCACAATAATCAAGCCTTCTGCGGCGAACAAGCATTTCGGAGATGTCGCGTGGAATCTCCTTGCAGGAAAAAATGGGGATAGGATTCGCTACTTTCGAGGCGTCGCACTGGTCTCCTTGGTAAATGACATGGTGAAGAAGGGATTGACAGTCACAGTCGTTATGGACTGTTGCTTCTCTGGGGGCGTATCTCGTGACGAGGGCCCGGACAACGTTAGATCTCTCGACTACGACGCGCAGGTGGATATGGACTATCCACCTGATCCTCCTATGGAGAGCCTCGATTTGCAAATGGTTGGGGATGCCTCTCGGGACGGCTCTATGCTTCCCAATTGGTTCCTCAATCCGGATAACTATGCCATTCTCGCCGCATGCGGTCAGCACGAAGTGGCCAAAGAGATTGAGTTTCCAGATGGGAGGGTGTACGGAGCACTATCTTACCTATTGCTGTATACGCTTTCCAACATTGACATCGCGACCCAATCACAGCTGGGCATCTACAATAACTTGCAAACCATATTCCGGCAAAAATATACTCGACAAAACCCTGTTTTGTATGGCAATATGAACTTACGCTTCTTTGATTCAATCTTGCCATCGCAACGCAACTTCCCTATTCCCATCGGTTTGGAGAAGGACTCTAGTCTTCTTTTACAAGGTGGTCAAGCTCATGGTGTTTGCACCGGCGACCTGTTTGCCATTTCCCGGTTCTATTCGACGGGGAGCAAGCCTGGGGGGAGCGAGAAACCAGTGACTGCCCGCGTCACGAAAGTCAGAGGTTTGACTTCAGACTTGGAACTGGTGGACCAAAATCAGGGGCAAAATGTTGTCCAGAGAGGCTGGGTTGCGAAAGCACTGACCCGTACTGCACTTCGACAATATCCAATAGCACTCGCAGCCAACGTCCCGGACACGGACAAATGGCTCGATGCTGCAAAAGAACGGGAGTCTCTAGCATTATCTCGTCTGGATTCTCTGGATTGTCCATTCACGTTCCAGGTCGTTTTGAACGCCGACGAAAATGTCTATGAGATTCGAGACGGATCAGATCAAAAATTGGCAAACCTGCCCGTTGTATCGAGAGACCACGAAGATGCTATAGCAGATATCCTCGGTATCCTTGAGCATCTGGCATGGTTCAAACACGTCAGAGCCATTACCAATCCGGGCCCAACGGATGATTTCCTACGTTCATTTGACATTAGCATTCTCAATCGCTCCGGAAAAGCTTTCGACAAAGACCGGGTGATCGAACTAAAGCACAAGGACATAGTCATGCTGGAAATACAGAATAAAGGCCAGCTTCCTCTGTATGTTCATGTTTACGATCTGGAGAACAGCTGGGAAGTCGAAAACCTCTGCCGTGCATCCTACGAAACCGTTCCGGCTCGCAACCCCGATCTCAATTCTTCGGGACGGAGTAAGAAGCGAGTAAAGATGACGGTCCCCACTGACATGCAGGCGAGGGGGTACAAGGAGTGTGACGACGTGATCAAGGTCTTTGTTACCATGCAGCCCACGACTTTCGCGTGTTTGGAGCTGCCGAATATCAACAAACTCGCGAGGATGGATGCCAATGCAGCAACGATCCCATCAGCTGATCCTGGCGAAATTGGGATTGCACCAGACGATTGGATTGCATTGAACTTTCACTTCCACACAACGGCTTAGAAGTCGAGTGATGTCGACGGTACTGCCATAATTACCTGATGTGATGGGAAGTTGACTGCAGTATTCAATCCCTACAATGTTGAAATAACCATAGTCTGTATTAAGCGTCTCGAGTGATATGGGTTTGGTATCCCTCGTACGTTGCAAACCGTCTTTTCATTCCAGCCTGACTCTCACTACATGGAGATACGAGGAACCAACCCATGTGACTGCGCTAAGGTCTCAAGGTCTGGGCTGGTGCCTGCTCTGACACGACCTCAAACCACGCGACGAAAACCTGTCAGCCACAGTGACGGCACTCCCACTGGGTATTTAACTCCCTGCAGTAGTACGCGGTATAGACTACAAGCCGGGAAATTGTTGACATCCAGTCGAGTGCGAGCACCAGCTAAGGCTGGTTTGCTGCTGTCTCAATCTTGCCTCGTGCTGGTTTAGGAACTATGCCTGTTCCATGCCTCTATTAAACGTGATATCGTGGAAAATTTAACCCCCTTATCAGACGAGGCTTCCGGTCCACGGCCGCCAGGTATCGACCGCTCCACCAACCTCCGAGCTTCAGATCAGGGCGCTCTTACAGATACGGTCATGGATGACCGAGGAAGGGCACCTTACGCTCGAGCGATGCAACTTCTTCAACGCTACATGACCGATTGGAATATTGATGACTTGAACCATGCAATTGAATTCGGCCAGCTCGCTACACAGACGACTCCTGAGGATCATGTGGACAGAGCTGCCCGAATTTCGGATTTGGGAACCATGTTTGCTCAAAGATATCAGCAAGAGGAACAGCTGGAAGACCTCAACCAGGCCATAGGACTTGCATCAGATTCCGTTTCATCCGCTCCGATCGGCTATCCGTATCTCCCAGCTTTCTCGAACAACTTGAGCAGCTACTTTGGGATGCGATATGATCACATCGGTGAAGTCGACGATCTGACCCAGGCTATCACCATCGCGCAGCAAGCGGTAGATTCGGCGTGGAACGACGACCAAAATTTCCCAAAGTACTTAGACAGCCTGGCAACAAGTCTCGAACGAAGATCAACACTGGAACGTAGTGAATCGAGCAGAGAAGACGCCCAGAGGTCCGTGGAGCTGGGGGAACTCGTGTTGCAATTGCTCCCAGACGATGACGACAACCTGCCAATTTACATGAATAACTTGGCAAATCGCTTTCAGAGTCTATATGACCAAGACAATAAAGTGGAATACCTTGACGAAGCCATCAAATGGGCCAGGTTGGCAATTTTTGCGATCGACGAAAGCGATCCTATCTGGCTGCCGAGCAGAAACAACTTAGCTATCGCACTTGAGCGCCGGTATGATCTGAATGGGAGCAGAGAGGATCTAGATGAAGCCATCGATATTGCCCACCAGGTGGTGAATTCGACCGAAGGAAATGATCCGAAGCTGGCACCTTACCTGAATACCTTGGCGGTCAAGATTACGGCTCTGTATCACCGCGCAGGAAATGTACAAGACTTGAAAGAGGCCGTCAAACTTACACGACGTGCCTTAGAGGTCGCTCCAGCAGACCATCGAGACAGAGCGGACTGGTGGAACAACTTAGGAACTCTACTCGAAAGCCTTTTCCGAAGAACTGGGAAATTCCAGTACATCGAGGAAGCCGTGGAAGCCGCGCAACAGGCCGTTGAGCTTACTCCGAAAGACCACCCAGATTGCGCAGCATATCTCATCAACTTGTCGAACAACCTCGAAACGCGTTTCGAAGCAACTGGCGATGTTCATTATCTAGACAGCTCCCTCCAATTCGCGGAGAAAGCTGTCAACGTCACGGTAGAGGGCGACTCAAGACTAAGTGCCTACCTGAACAGCCTGGGAACCAAATTCAGCCGGCTGGAGACATGAATGATCTCGAAGAAGCGGTCCGATTTGCACGAGATGCTTTACTATTGGTTCCAGAGGGTCACCGCACCTACCCTACTTACCTAAGTAGCCTGGCAACTGCTCTGCATAGCCAGTTTGAGCGGACGCGTGACATCAAACATCTCGATGAAGCCATCAAGCTATCGCAGAGAGCTGTGCATCTGACGGAACGGAGTCATCAGGATTATGCAGCGTGGAAGGTCAACCTCGCAAACCACCTCAGCGCTCGCTACGACCACTACGGCGACATTGCTGACCTCAGGGAGGTAATCAACCTCGCTCGCGATACGGTGGAGTTGACCAAAGGAGAGCATCTCGACCGGGAGCCATGCAGGAACAATCTGGCAGCCGCACTGTCTAAGAGGTACAAGCGCAATGAGAATATAGAAGACTTGGACGAATCCATTTCCTTGACCCAGCAGGCGCTTGGTTCGACGAGTGAAGATGATCCAAACTGGTCCGCCTACGTCTGCAATCTGGGTATCTGGCTGCTCAGCCGCTACAACAGGAGCGGTGACATTGGCGACCGTGAATCTGCCTTTGCATCATTTTCTTCGCTTGAGTCAGACCAGCCAAGCAACTCCTCTAGATCGTCTCAAAGCAATCCGAGTGGCCATTCGACTTCTTCGAGCCAAAGGATCTTGGAATCAAGCAAGTACACTGGCTGCGGAAGCATTGAAGCTGCTCCCGCTTGTATGTGGTCGATATTTAGGCCTTCAAGACCAGCAATACGTCCTTGCGCAAACGTCGGGTCTTGCTGCCGATGCTTGCTCGCTAGCTTTAAAGAACGGGGACGTCGAGGAGGCTATCATTCGACTGGAACTCTGGCGTGGTATCATGGTCGGCTACATGATCGAATCTCGAGGTGACCTGTCCGAGCTCAAAAAGGAATGTCCAGAGTTGGCCAATCACTATGAAAACTTACAACGCAAGGCATCTCAGAAGATTGACTCGCGCGACCCCCAAGTCCGGCAAATGCTGCTCAAAGAAAGGAGAGAGGCCATCAAAGAGATCGAAGGTTGCGTTCAGCGGATCCGCAAGGAGACTACCTACAAACGCTTTCTGCTAGGACCTGCAATTGAGGAGCTGAAGAAAGCTTCGGACCCTGGGCCACTTGTTCTGGTCAACGTCACAGACATCAGTGCCGATGCTTTGATCGTATCACCGCAGGAAATCAAAGCCATTCGTTTGCCGGAATTCTTCGACAGGGCGGCGCCGTCGGCCGTGAAGGGAGAGATCGAGTCGTACGAGCGCGTGTCTCGTGGGGATGGCAACCGAGACATTGAAAGCGAGGCTCCATCGCACCTGGAATCTGATCACCTGTCCTGGCTGTGGACGAACTGTGTGAAGTTGATACTCCAGGAGCTTGGCGGTGACAATATGCCAGTCCACAATAACCTGCCTCGTGTCTGGTGGGTTGGAACAGGTATTGCCAGTTCTCTTCCCTTTCACGCAGCAGGAGAGGCCTTCGGTCTGTCGACAGAAAACACCTTGAGCCACATTGTACCTTCATACACACAATCCATCAAGGCTCTCCTGTATTCCAGGTCCCAGATCCTTCGATCTGCCCAGCACAACAAAAACAAGTGCTCCATGATGGTTGTGGCGATGCCGCAAACCCCGGGACAAAGACCACTGCCCGGAGTTGACGGGGAGGCGAAGGCCATCGCCAGTGTGAGCAAAGGCGTCTACAACGTCGAAGTATTGCCACAGCCAGCGGCAGATGGCGTATTACAGAAGCTTTCCACCACGGACATTGTTCACTTCGCGTGCCACGCCATTTCAGACCCCTTCGACCCTTCCAAAAGCCACCTCCTTCTCCAGAAGCCGGGGGCCAAGGGCTTCGTGATCGACAAGCTAACCCTGTCTCAGATTGCCGGAGTCGTGACGGAAGGACCGGCGCAGCTTGCGTTCCTCTCCGCCTGCTCGACCGCGGAGGTAAAGGCGAGTAAACTCACGGACGAGGGCCTCCATCTTGCCAACGCATTCCAAGTCGTAGGGTTTGGCCACGTTATCGGGGCTCTGTGGTCCGCCAATGACGAGGTCTCTGCTCGTCTGTCGGAGTTGTTCTACGCCCATCTTATCGAGGCGGGTCAAACTTCGTCCCTCGACGGCCTCGTAGCCTCAGCCTTGCGGGAAGCGGTAGTGCAGGTTCGATCGGAGTTTTCTGAGAACCCCGAGTTATGGGCTCCATTCATTCATTTGGGGGCATAAATACTAAGGTAGCGTGATACTTCGTGTCTGGTCAGGGTTGACGTCGAAAGCGTTTGGATTCGTATCATATCCAGGGAACCCCGTCAACCACTAGTGGGCAGTGTCCCTCCCGCCCAGCATTTCGTGCCTGTAATTCCGCTTTCCGCATGCTTCCCATCCTTCTGAGCCTTAGAGGGAAGAACGCCGCTCGCCCGGTAATGGCTTCAGGTAGCCATTTTCAAGTGCTTCTCCTCCACTTGCGCGCCATTCCTCGCCTTCCGGCCATCCTGGTGGGCCAAGACGTATTTGCCCGCCGCGGGCACCGACGCGATCAAATACGGCCCTTCTTGGACTCCGCTGCCTGGCACTCGGTAGATGACTTTATCCCCCGGTCGAAACCGACTGGTCTAAACACCGCCGTTTCTCTCAGCATGTGGAATACCACGGTGTCGATGCAGAGGTTGTTTGTACCTTTTGATATGCCTGGACGGAGGGCCTGCCGTCCTCCACAAAGGTAAAGTTGAGGCTTTTTTTTTTCGGCGTCGGTGTCAACATTTCCCGTGACCTATTTGTCCGCAAGGAGGGGTGGGTGGGTGGATGTCTCTTACTCGTCGATCTGGTCCATTGCAATTTATTCGACTCCCTTTGTTTGAAAAGAGAAGCGCTGCTAATTTGTCTTGAAAACCTATCCAACTACTGAGGTCTTATCTTCGGTGGGAAAGACAGTAATTAGATGAACGCTTTAGATGTGTCTTGACTCTTGACATGGGGAATACTTAGTTGCCTTTTTGCTGACGTGGCAGTTGCCTGGTTGCCTTTACCAACCAACACGTGGAGAGTTCGCCCAGCCCACCATGGGTTCAGCCAGCCATTCTCATGTGCGTCTCCTCCGTCCCAGCCAAGCTACTAGAAGCTTCTATTCCAGATCAACCTGCGATTCCAGCGCCATAAACCCCCGTCCCGCCTCTTCCGTGGTGTCAGTTTTGCTTTGGACCCGATCCGGACAAGAAGACGACGAGTAGTGTGCAATACCTGGTGCCCTCTCAGTTAGGCCACACCTTCGGCCGTCAAGTCAGGGGATGTACTCACGTTGACCCGGCGACAAAAAGCTCAAACGTCCTGGAATTGGCCAAATTGGTCAGGATCGACAGGGTCAAGATGTTGGCGACAACCGTGAAGGTGATCCGGAGGGCCATGCTCTCCACGGCACTGCACAGCAACACGGGCGTCAACAGCAGGGCGACCACGAGGAACAACAAGACCGCTTTAAAGATGTGTGTGACGAGGCCGCCGGAGTAGATGTAGACATTCGGGTCCCTCGAGATCTCGTGCAGCGGCAACTAGTGTGCCATCAACTTCCTGGGCTGTTAAAGGACCGGGGAGGATTGTCAAACCTTGCGAAAGCCAGGGTAGAATCGGATCATCTTGGCCTCCACCCAGACCTCCAGCTTGGCCATGGCACTGTCTCCCAAGGAGGCCAGATTGACCAAATCCCGCGGGCCGTCCAGGTACTCGGTCTCCTCCCTGGCCAGCGAAGCCGTGCCGTCGACCCAGTTCTTCAAGCTCGTGACGTCCCCGGGACTGGCGGGCTTGAGCTGCAAAAGCCGCGACGTTCGCTCGACGAAAGAGTCTGGCGGCACAAATTCTCTTAGCCCAAAGATCTCACCACGAAAAAAAAGAAAGCCCAACGGCATTTTTTTGGGCTCAACCATAGTCAGCCAACTCCGCCAGCACGCTCCGGCGTTGTTCGTTCGCGTCCAGCCTGCTCTTCTCCAGGAACAGCGGCGACTGTTCTTCGTCGTCGACCTGCTCGAGCTGCTTCTCCAACTGAGAGAGCTTGTCCTGCTTGAGCAGGAGGAGGCGAGGCCCGGATGTGGGAAAATCGACGACAGATGTAAAAGCCGTCACTGGCAACCACAAGAGCGGAGAACTGGGGGTAGCCCCGAGGGTAATCTTCAACTGGATGGGAAACGTTTAGTCCAACAAACATATGGCGATCCATCCCATCTTACTCTTCCTCGTCTTGTCTGGGATCCGCCGCCCCGCTGCGGGAAGCCATCTGGCACATGACGATGTCCAGCTTCTCGTCGAAGCGAGCAACCGAGATCTTGTCTGATGGGTTCTTTCTTCCGAAAGGCCACTTTCAACGTCCATGGCGAAAAATGGCGACGTGAGTATGTCTGAGACACAGGAGCACCCCGGGCACAGGAGAATGGTTGTGAGCACAGCTTCACGGGCATAGAAGAGTGTGTTGCGAGAACAGCTTCACGGGCCTTTCACAAGGACCAGTATTTCGCTACCGAGTCCTTTTTTGCCCCTCCTTAGCGTCAGGCGACAAGGCGGTGCGGCTCCAATGAGGGACGGAAACGTAGCAACCCTCGAAGTTCCTCGTTGCGGAATTCAACCTTTGGTCGCGATACCGTCTAGCCCCCGGCTGGATGTCGATGTAGTCGCTTCTCCAGACACAAAGCACGCCTGTGCGCTTCAATCGGCACAGTGACTTTGCCATTGATGCGGTTTGACACACGCCCGCCCCCTCTTGGGACTGAAACCGAGTTAAGCAAGATCGAAGTCTGAACTAGCTGTCGAAATAAGAAATGCCTCCACCAGAATACATAGTTCCGGCTCCTTTCCGCGTATTCCAGCTTCGTCCCACAAATGGAAGCTATATTACTATCCCCTCTGCTGCCGCGGCCCGCTCCGATACTTTCCTTTCAGTTGCAAGTGTCTACTAGGAGCTTGTAACTCCTCGCATGTTTTGGAAAATGAATAGACCATACCGAATTACTTGCGATTGATCGGCCATGCACACGTGTAAGCCGTGATATAACGTGCTCGAACCCCCACCAGCCAAGCCAGGGTGAAAGAGACAACGAGGCTGGTGAGTCTGCAGCTCAATTCCTATTGAGGAGACAAAGACTTCTACGGAGGACAAGCACGATTTCAAGCGCCCGAGTGAATATATGCCCCCCATTGCTGCGGGTCAGGGTGCTCGCCTCTTACCCGGAGGACAGCAGTCCTCAGAGCCTCCGCGACGGCGCGATTGCCAAGCTGTCGACGGTCCCCACCAATAATAGCCTCGTAGAAATACCCCGCGACCTCGACGCATATGTTGTCTTCGACGCGCCACAGGCACCCAATGACGTGAGCGAAGCCCGCGACCTGGAGCGCGCTCGACATATGGATCCCCTCGTCGGCGAACTTGGCGGCGGTGATCTGAGCGGTGGAGCAGGCCGACAGGTACGCGATCCACGCGAGCCCGGTGCTGTCGGCGCGGTCGGCGCTCGAAACCCTTGAGACGGTCAATTCGTCCACCTTGGGGCGGTCGGCCTCGTCGTGTTTCTGCAGCAGGAGGTGGCTCCTCGAGGGGTCGCGGCTGTGAGACTTGCCGTGGCACGCGAAGTGGACGATTTCCGAGCGCCCCATGCTTTCCAAAACGGCCTCGCCCGTGGGCTGTGACAGCGGCACGCACGCGTACAGGCCACTAGAGTCACACTTCTCTTTGATCAAATCGCTTTCCAGTTGAACACCGTTGAGTCGATCATACCCTGGAGTGGTGGTCATTGTCACCACCGTCACTCGAGGTTGCTGATGGGGCGTGCTGGCGTATCGTTTTGATTGTTTCCTCGAATACGACAACGCCTTAATCGACGGGGTGTAAGAGGGCACCATTCGATCCAATGCATTGTTGTCCGAGTTGTACTTGTTCGTAGAAAGGGACGCTGCATGGAACGGGAGGCCGCTGGCCACACCGGCCCCGATCCACCAGACCCTCGGAAGCTGCTCCATGCTGCCTGCTGTTGGTCGTGGCCCGAGCGCATCCAGGACCACCTCGACGCAACTCTCCCAGAGCCACGAGAGGAAGAATTCCGTCGTTACCGACCCAGCGCCCTCGTCCTCGCCTCCTATGTCTCGACCGGCCGGGAAGTCTGGGAATTCGCGGTCGGGAGACCTGAAATTCCGGAGAGCACTCGACACGAAAGCGGGCATTTCGCCGCCGGCCCGCAACTTCGGGAGAGGGATCCTCTGCAAGTGGGAAGGGGACACAACGATTGCATCGCTGCTGATATCTGTGAGGTTCACCACCACGATAGGTCCATCGCTCGCGCAGGCCTTCATTTTCTCCGTACTGAAACCGCGGAGAAAGTCCTCGTGGCCTCGGGTCCGACGGATCTCGGCCAGACACTCTTCCATCCGGTAAGCAGCATTTCTGCGCATTTGCATCTGGCCCTCGCCAATGCTGGAACCCTCCAGCGTGGGCTGCAGGTATAGCTGGTTTCTCAAATCTCTGTATCTCTCGGCCAGGTCGGAGCAAGTCGCCTCCAGAGTCTTGAGATCGTCGTGATTGTCTATTGTATAGCCGATTAAAATTGCTTTGCCGAGCTCCAGCTGCTGCAGCGCCTGCTCAACCTGATCTTCTCTGAGTAGTATGGAACACACGTCGGCTGCGAGGCCGGAGGTCTCAATGACGGCCTGCTGCTGATCTTTCCGGCTCAAATACCGGCCACATACCATCGGCAGGAGCTCCATGGCAATTTCTGCTAGAGTCTTCATTTCATCCCAAGCCCCTCTCTGTTGTAAGATCCTGATGGCGCGGCGAGATGCTTGGACACGCCTCAGGGGGTAAGCCGACTGCATGGTCGCCGCCTCTTTGAAATATTGCAATGCGGTATCCAGGTCGTTTGGGAGATGCAGCAGCGAAGACTGGACGATCAACATGTTTCCCAGATTGAGAAGTTGGCTTGCTCGATCAGGGAGACCCCTTGGAGACGACAGGGACTCCTCTGTGAGTTTTATGGCCTTTTCCAGATCCCCTGGTGCTTCTTTCTCTCGAAATCGCCAAAGGTAGGAAAGTGACAAGTTCGCCAGCCAAGTGTTCCGAAAGGGACTGTCCGCTGACAAACGATGAGCTTCTTCACCACACCGGATGGCCTCGTCGATGTCTCTTCCACTTCTATCCTGGTCCGACCGAATCCTCAGCCCGTTTGCAAGACCATTGTAGTACCTCGGAAGGTCTGCGTGACACTTGGGCGTTGTGTGGACAGCAACCCCACTTTTCTGAATGGCTTCATCAATGTCTGCAAAGTCCAGTTGGCGCTGGAATCGGGTCATGAGGAGGAACGAGAGATTGTTCAGGTACGCCGCATGATCTGATGCGTTGGAACTCTGGGGGTCTGTGACGGCTCGGAGCTTCTCGATTGCGGTGTTCAAGTACTCGCTCTCGCCGGTCAGCTCAAACCTGTGCCCGAGTTGATTGGCAAGATTGTTGGTTCTCCGTGGGTAGCTCGGATCATCTGGCGCAGTCAGCCCCAGAGACCTTTCAGTGTATTGAAGGGCGTGCTCCAGGTCAGTCGGATTTCCCAATATCTCAAAGCGCAGTTCGTAGGAAAGGCCTAGGTTGTTCAGCCATTTCGATCTATCTGCATCTCCCTCCCCTATATTGTTCACCGCAGCCTCGCCGTGTAAAATCGCCTCGTCGAGATCTGCTGCGTTTTCGCCGTGCTTGTAGCGGTTCGAAAATGCCTGCGCGAGCGAACCAAAGAAATGCGCTCGGTCAGAGGGCCGCAATGTCGCCTCCTCCAGAGCCTGCTCCCCGTGATCCACGCCTTGGTCCAGATACCGGTTCTGCTTGTCGTGTTCAAACAGCTGACCGTACAGCTGGGCGAGACCTGCTCGGACAAAGAGTTTGGTGCGTTCGTCGGCGGCCTGGTCCCGGAGGATCTGCTCGCTCAGGCCGATCGCAGCCCGGAGATCCTGTGGATTGCCGTCCATTTCGTACTGCCGGAATTGGCAATTGCGAAGCGTTTCCAGGTTTTTGATGTAGACGGGGTAAAGGGAGTGAGTAGGGGGAATCAGCTCTCTTGCCCTGGCCATGTTGCTAGAAGCACGAACGAGGCTTTCGCGGCTCGGGTGGAGTGAGCACCGCTTGAGGCTGAGTGCAGCCAGGATCATCCTTCTTTCGGCCAACCTTGGGTTATCCATTGGGGTTAAAAGGACGCTTTGGCTCAGTAGGTCGATCGTCTCATTGAGATGCTCCTCGTGGCCCAGCCGAAGTAGGCGCATGGCAGCAGAGTAGGCTTCGTCGGCATGTTGAGAATCGGGTTGCACGATGGGAGTATTTGAAGTCGACATTGGCGCCAGACTTGAAGGTTGATTGTTCAAACAACGCTGGAGGAATTTGGCGTTGTTCAAGACGATACTTGGGGATCTTAAGCAGTGTCCAAAATGTGGCTCAACAGCCCCCTGGGGTTGCAGTGCCCAGAGAACCTGGTTGACCACGCACAGGGCCACAGATGCGCCAAACCGGTCAAGCAGCCTCAGCCTCAACACCGTCGCTCGATCGAAATAACCAATAAGCGTCAGACGGCAGATTTTATCGACGCATTGCTGCCTAACAGATGCCACGTGCTGTGTGGCCTTGATAGTCTCGAGAATTCGAGCGATCTCGATCGCGCGGAACACCACCCATTTATATGGGATGTCAGATTCTCGGGCTTGATACAGGACCAAAGAAACAAATACTGCTGAGTTGCAGCCGGTATAACGTCCAGGCTGGCTCAGAGAACGATGTCAATACTTTCGATTGGAGTCCTGGTATTCAATGCTACTCGCACTGCATCGTGAAAGCACACCGATGCCTCAAAATAGCGGTGCTTAACAACAGAGTCCGGACTGGCAGGTTCATGGGGCATTTAAAGACTTGAAATCGTTCTGCACCCGCCTGCACTTCCATACTGCTATAATCTTCTTCGATTTTCTGACTCGTGCGACCATTTTCGTGCATCTTGTCGGGAATTATCTACTCAACACCGTTGGGCCGAAGGAGAAACGGTATACGAATGGCGTAGTAGCGAAGATCATCGTCATCCACAGCTTCAGCCTTGCGGCTGCAACCGGTCGAGATCGACCACGTCAACTGTTCCAGCTTCGACAGACTCGTCCTTTCAGCAGGCGCTGGTCTGGCTGGATCGGCTAAATGACGCAGATCAACCGGCTCACTTGACAGGAACAACAATAAAGTCTCTCGCAGGGGTTTCGCGTGACATACTCCTCGCGGCCAACTCACTTTCAGCCCAGATAGTGTAAACCCATGTAGCGAACGCCCCAAGATTTCACGTCGTCCATGCGGGAGTTCGATGCCGGATGACATCGAGACCAGCGAGATTTTGCCCACGGCGTTGATGTCGAAGACGGACACGTAGACCGTCTCGTAGCCGTCGTTGAGGAGCGAAATGACGATTCGATCCCCTTCGGTCAAAGAGTCGGCGCCGTCCTGCCCAAGGACTCTGCCCAGCGAGGACTGGTCTCCCACCAGCTGCACCGTCACTTCGACGCGGTGCTGAAGGATTTCGTCAGTCGCCTCGTGCTCCAGTGACAGAAGATGCTGAGCGCGGGCAAGCTGTTCGGCTGACTTCAACAGCTGGGCCACCTCCTTCTCAGACGGAGTTGAAGGGGTTGCTGTAACGTCGAGGCCATGAGAGCTGCGAAGGACGATGTCGTTTGCCTCATAGCAGAACTCTGCCAAAGTGAAGTCGTTCTCGTCCAGCTCTCGCCTGCGTATAAACCTTGAGCCCTGTACCATGTCATCCAGCCAGGGGAGTCCAGGAGGGAGTGTGACGGGCCACTTGGGGAGGGTTTCGTGACGGATAAACGCCACGGCGCCCTCGTCGGGGAGTCGAGTTGCCTGAGGCCCAGTGAACGACAGCCTTGTAATCGCCTTAAACGCCGTCACCTCTGTCACATGCGCCTCTGCAAGTTGCTCTTCGGCCAGTATTTCCTTCGCCCCCAAGGGCATGACGGAGTAAACATTCCCTTGGTTCACCCCAGAAACGCGGCCAGCTTGTATCACGGCACCGTCGGCTTCATTTCGAATGTGGTATGCTCCAGAGATGCTCTCCTGCAACGAAAAATGGTGCCGGTTCACGGGCCCGTCGGCACGGGGATGTTGATACGGAAACCGGACGTTCACGAGCTCCTTGACCCGCAGCATTGTCGTCCACCACGAAATCCTAGCGGCCCTGCTTTCCGCAATGGCCAGGACGAGGGCTTCCGTCATCGCCCCGCGCCACTCTCCCACTGCGTTTTGGTATTCCCAGGCGGACTCGTTCGCCGCGGCGGCGGCGATGCGGATCGCCCACGGATTCCCCTCGGCCTCCGTCTCCGTTCGTACCTGGTCGAGATGCTTGAGACGGTCGACGTATTGTGACACGTCGTGATACTGCACTTCCGAGAGACCTTTCGCCGTAGCCGACGCGCCAAAGTTGGGGTCGCGGACCATGCGCCCCGCGTAACAGCAGTCGAGGATGACGGTGGCGTTTTTGGTCTTCGCGGTCATTTCCCACACCAGACCCGACAGTTCAATGTCCAGAATGCCGCCGAAGTCTCCTCTCGCCGTCGTGTCGTCAAAGTCCATGGGTACAATGAACTGGTACCGCCACGGCTGGGTCGCGACCAGGTTTGATATGTCTCTGGGTTGGTCCCTGGGTGACTCGACCATGCCCCCGTGGCCCGAGTAGTAGACCACGACGCAGTCTCCTTGGTGAATACTGTCGATGAGTTGTCGCCATGCCTGTAGAATGCCATCCCGGGTAGCACTGGCTCCACAGCACTCGGCTATATCAAAACTCAGGGTGCGCAAGACTTCCACCACCATTGCAACATCCCGCAACGGGCCTTTAAGTCTTCCAAACGGGCTGGCGATGAGAAGAGCTTTCTTGCTTGGCATCTTGTTCGACGACAGAATGTAGAGCTCTGGTCCACGGTAGTTCCGCCGACACCGACAGTCAGTCTGTAGATTTTCGGGGTATCTCCTTGATGGGGACTGGAACTTCGTGCCGGTTGAAGAACATGTGTTGCTACACCAGGGAGCAGTCAAGTACATGGTCTTGAGGCGAAAGAAGGAGCAGAAATCTGCGGGGAACTCATGTGCCCATGATCGGGCAGGGGGTATACGAAGGCCACCTGCAAAGCTGCTCCAATGAGGTGTCTCTGCTACTGGAGTGTCTGCCTGACTGCTTTTCGCGAGCCTCCTTCTACGGCACTTCCTCGCCTCGTCGTGCATCAGCGTATCCCTACATTCAGCCATGTCATGTCGTGGCCTTTCCTATGTGATATCCTATCACGCCCTGGACCAAAACACTATTCCTGCCTGACAGGATCGTGACCTTCTCGCTCTTCTTCGCTCTCTATGGCTTGATCTCCTTGTCCAGAAGCAATCCGCCCCTTTTCCATGCGCCGTGCTATCAAAAAGCCTAGCCTTACGCCGAGTTATTTCTTCCTTGTCTCTGCTGTTGTCTTCTTGGTACTATCTTCTGATCTGGTTTCAACGGTCTTCGCTTTATTTTTCTCCTTCAGCTCAGGGTCGTAGTTCTTGCACCCAGTTCTCGGGAGGGGCAAGAAGCACGCGCATCTTTGGTGGTGTTGCCCGCGCACGATCTTCAGGTCGCCAACCAAATCCGGGGGCTGCATCTTGGTAGTAATTATTCTTTCTCCGTATCAGGTACCTAGGTCTCAGATTAAAGCGGCCTCAGGCCCTTTCCTGAACGAAAATGCGAAGGGATATACCGCAGCGGGGCTTTTCTAAAACATCCAGGTGTATATATACTTATACGTACTAGGTAGGGCCACATTAGCAGCATCCAGCGCGCGCAAGATTTGGCCGGTGGCTGCTTCACTCCACTCTATCTAGGACTCTATACTCCATTCCATACTCGGTGCATGATCCCTCCCTGGGTCGCCTTCCACGGGACATCGATTCCTGCTCATATACACAAGGCAACTGAGTTCCAACGCTGTGCTTACCAAAGGATGATGTTCCGAGGGGGCGTCTGTAACAATCCAGGTTTCTGATTCGCGGCGCCATGCATGATTCCGTGAATGTAGCACTCGCCGAGGTGCCGGTAGAAAGGGGCATTTCTTTGTTTCCCTTGATCTCGTCAATAACAAAGGGAACTGCGCTGCCGACGAGCAGGGTGACCAGACTGCCTACGCGCGCTGCTCCGGGGACAATTCCAACGTAGCCGCGCTCAGTGATACACACCTTGGCATCGACGAACCTTTGCGCAAATTCCTCTGCGGTGAGAACAAAGGACCACATTAACTTCTGCAATTCCTGGGGTCGGAATAAAAACTGGTTCAGCTTCGCGACGGCGCGCATCTTGGCAGCCTCGACGTTCCAGTCACCATGGTCGTCGCCCATCTGCAGGTATTCGGCGAAAGCCTCGTAAGAGGCGCGGAAATCGACCTCGTTCCAACTCCCAGATGGAGGACCCAGGGCATCCCCAATGAGGACTTTCCAGACCAGATCTTTGGGATTATCTTCGGTAGGATAAGTACTGAGAGGCTCGATGTAACTGAAAGCTTCTTTCAACCATCGTATTCGGTCTCCTGCTGTAAACGAGATCTGGCCTACCTTGGCGATTAGATCGACACCGTAAGCGGCGGCGGTTAATGTATAATCATTTCGTGGTGAAATCCTGATGGAATCCTTTACATGAGAACACGCACTGAATAGTCCGGATTTGCTCTTCCAGGTGGTGATCGTCTTCGGATAGGTTGTTGTCACCCAGTTCGGCACCCACGAAGGGAAATGAGCATCGCCTTCCAGGCCGGTGGCCCCTGCATGATATAAAAGCTCCATTCCCTTTCCACGTCGGACAAAGACCTCTGCATATTTGCGCACGACGGTCTCAAGCGGTGCCGCATAGTCTGGGTCGAAGCTGGGATCATCGACGTCGCATGCCAACCCGAGAAAGGCAAAGAGTTTGTCTCGCCGGCGTGAGGTTAGAGTGTGCTCGAAGTCTTTGAAAAGTGTAAGCAGCTCTCGCTGCGCGGTGGAGTTGGTCTGGCTACGATATGCACGCCTCAGTCGCCCGAGGCTTAGCACAGGCGCCATGGTCCTGGAAACCGACGTCATCAGAGCAGCATTTGAGTTCTCTGCTTGTCTTGAGCACAAAGTGGCTGGGACATAAAGATCATCCCACTCAAAGGTTCGGTTGCCGCACAACAAGACGATATGCGGCGCAAGAACAAGCTCTTGGACAATCCAGACTCGATGGAACCAATCGCGTCCAAAACATTTCTTGACAATGTCCCACACCGGGTTGTCCGCCGAGGGTAGCCTCACCATAGCAGCTTGCTTCGGGGATTCGGAGGCCTTTTTGATCTTGCAGAGCCAATCTATCGCGGAATTGCTCTGATCTGCTTCATTCCCCAGCCACGCGCACACGCGGAGGGCGGACTTGTAAATTTCTGACATCAAGCGCACTTGGTGGCCTTTCTCTGTATCATTGGCCTGATCGATACAGATAGCATCTGCCCAGAGGAGGATCGACCGTTTTTCTTCTCGCAACCGTTTCAGTGCGAAGTATAATGAAGCAGTAATCCGTAAAGCGTAATCTCCGATGGCGAGAACATACGGTTTCAAGCCGTTCCCCCAGACATAGGATAAGGCTGTAAAGGGATATTTTGGCTTGTTGTGCTCGAGGGAAACACGTATCAGCTCTCCTCTCAGTTCTTCCCAGCCGCGTCCCGGTTGAAGCCTCAACAAGCGCATGACGGAATTTCTTTCAAGAGGCTTGTATCTGTACTTCCGTTCGTCCTGTTGGAGCATTCTTCGAGCCCAGAGCTCGCCTCAATCCCGGATGTAGGATGTGATGATATGAACAGAGTCTCTCAATGAAGGGGTGGAAAATCCCATTTCGAAGTGTTTAAATAAGAGATTAGGTGAAGTAACGTGAGTGTTGGCAACGTAGAAGTCGTTTTGCGGCCGTATCTGGATCCCACCAGCGGCGTATAAGCGCCACGGATCTATGAAGAATGACGCGCTAGCGGTTGACTGCTTGTTGAAAACCCTCACAAGAATGATGGCTTGAGAATGGCGTTTCTCCCCAGGCAACAACCGATACCTTCGGACCTATATATTCAGGGTGCTTAGTTGGGGATTCATCCGCACGATCGGGTACAGGCTTACTATTTCCATCTCCTCTGCACTCATTGTAAATTGCGACTCTTGCCCGCCGTTTGTAATTTTCACCAAAATGTGGTAACATGGGTAGTCTCCATTCTTCCTCCATCCAGAACCGGACTGTATGAGGAATTCTGTCATTACTGCTCCGTCGGAAAACGTGAATGTGGCCATAGACTGCTCCCCTGTCCGCGAAGATTTATATCCTGCCTCGCGGCGGTATGGACTAGTCTATTGAGTGTCTGGATCATATCTTTCTCCAAGATACTTCTCGAAGAGCTGAGATACCTAGTCCAATTAGTGAGGGCTGCTTCTGAAGCTGCCACAGAAAGACTTACGTAAAGTTCTCCAAGAAATTTAGTGTAAGTATCGATCTTATATGCTGGCTCAAGGGCAAGAAAGAGTGTGCATTATCCTGATCGGGCAATCTGCCCCCGGGCAGGAAGTACCTTCCCGTCTGGTGCTTGATCTGAGAAATTTTCCCGAGGGAGTTCCTGACAGTCTTTGACGTGGACGTAGGTAGGGTGGCCAACAACTCTTGGACGTTCCAAAGTTTCAATGCCATGAGAATCAGCGCTAGCCATCGCTTTGCGTTTCCGTCTTGGGGGCTGTCCTTGAGCTCTGACATATTCTCTCATTCGTGGAGCGTCATCAAGAGGAACATAGTTTGGCCGCCTCGACGAGCTTTCTTTGGACTATGCCGGACCGGCTGGCTTCGACTCAGATATGATATGTTCACTATTTGGTGATGCCCTGGTTGGAGATGTTGGTCTTGTCTGTCGTTTGTTGAAAGTTTGATTGTCTGTAGAGTTGACATCCAGAAGATCTTCTCCTCTCTGACTCTGGGATTTCAACTGGTCAATATCAATTTGGGCCTCATCGTCGATGATACTTTTCAAGGGTGGCCCCTCGTATTCCTGCTGTTCTTCATCGGGCTAATCCATTTTTCCTGGACCCTATGAGGGGTTCTAGGGACTTGAGGTTCTTTAGCAGTTGCGCAGCTCTGTTTGGTAATCGCGTCTTCCTCTTCATTGCTTCCATCTTGCGTAGCCGGATTTGGCGCAGCTTCATTTTGGGATAGTTTCTTGTCTCTCGTCTTTGGAATTCCTTCGCGGTCGAGAGTATCCTCGATGATGATGGAGCTCGATTGACCCAAAATAATGAGTATCAGCGCCACGCCGCATTCCGGAATACCGCAGAAGATGGCTAGTTGCTTTGCTAGCTCTAGTGAGGGGTACGATGATTTGGGGTCATCTCGGAGGTACAGTTCTAAGACAAAAGTTCTCGCCCCTCACCACTTTTTTTGCATAATCAAGATATTACAACCACCACCAAAATCACTACAGCAGTCGCATTAATTAATTATCTATCTAACTAATAGTCGTGTTAAGGATGCCTTATTGAAGATAGGTAGTACTCAGCGATAGGTAGAATCCGTAGTAATAAGTATCCTTTACGTATAGTATTATCAAGACTCAAAGCTTGAGAGAAGGAAGCTTTCCGTGTGCGGAAAGCGTACCTCTTCTCCTATAGGCCTAGTAAGCCTAAATAGTTTAGGGCCGTTCTAGCGGTCCCTTTACTCCGCTCTTCCTCCCGAGCTATAGTAGCGCATAGGGATACTTCTCCCCTACGAGTCACGTGCTCTTCTGCCCCGTTTATGATAATATTAAATTAGTATTTTAATAGGACTTAATATCGATAGGATCACTAGTAGCGGAAATAGTAACTAGATTAATAGCTACACTAGTAGAGAAAATAGTAACTAGATTAGTAATGGTAATAGTAACTAGATTAGTAGCTATACTAGTAACGGTAATAATAACTAGATTAGTAGCTATACTAATAGCTAATTAATGGCTTAATACGTAAGTAGTACACTAATTAAAGCGTAGACGCGTTTAATAGTTTCCTTAGAGAATTAGTTATTAACTTAATTAATAGCTTAATCGACTTCTTTGTTGTCTACTATAGGAGAATAGTAAGCGAACTATTAAAGTAATAAAGTAGAGAATTAAGCGTATAGATTTATAGAGAGTTACGCGCTCTAATCTCTACCTTATCTTTAGTTATATTAACTATAAAATATTAGATACGATATCTCCTTAAACTACTTACTTTATTTCTGTTCTCTTCTCTTATTCTTACTCTTTCTTTATTTAAGTTAACTTACTATTATCTACTTCTCCTTTAGTACTCTTGAATATCTTATAAGCTATTCTTATTATAAGTTTCTTATCTTATCGCTTCTTCTACTATCTCTAACGCGAGACGATATAATATCTAAGACGGAATCTAACGTAACTACTCTTAAGGTCTATCTCTCTAGTAGCGGTTTATTAGAGAATAATAATATTAACCAATTAACGATAGTTACTAAACTATAGTAGTATAATATATAGTAAGAACTTAATACTCTTAAAGTCCGATAGCTCGTCTTCTTAACTAATAAATATTAGTAATATAAGCTCGATAAAGAAGATATCTATAAACGCGCTAAATACTTCGTTCTCTAGTATACGAACAACTCGAAATACTCTAAAGTCGACGATAATATAGAGTTAGAGCGATATATTTTACGAGATAAAAGATAATACAGGGAATCGGAACGATATAGAGATTATATCTTAATAATAGATAAAGATTATAAATTATATAACGATATAGATAAAGATAAAGAATAAGATACTCGCTATATATCTAGCGCGAATCGTAAATTATAATAGCGATTAAGATAATAATTATAATATTAAGAGTTAAGCTCTATTCTCGATAACCACTATTAAGAGAGATGCTACTATTAATCTATTATTATTACTTATTCTATTACTTATTCTATTTTAAACCTAAGGCTCTCTAATACGTAAAGATAAGTCTTATATATGATTATAACTATATTAGCCGTTACTATTACTCTAGCTCTTTATACTAGCTTACCTTATTAGAAGATATTCTATATTATAGTCGGGAAAGTGAAGAATAGATCTATCTAGATCTATCTATACTTAACTATAGGAGAGTAGTATTATAATTAGCTAGTATAAAGACTATATAAGTATATAGGACTAGTAGATAGTCCTAATTAGCTACTATAGTAGATAAAGTCAACCTAAGGCGTTTACTATAAGTAGTACTAGTATATTCCTTTCCTTCTTCCTTCTCTCTCCTTAGTTTAGTCTCTTATATATAGAAATATATATTATTAGAGAGCTCTATATTATAACGACTAATATAACGGTTATAGCGTAATAGATAACTTATATAACCGATAGCTTAGGTAATAAATATAATAGTTAATATAATAACTATAGTATAATAGTGTTATAAACCGCTTTACGACACGTAAGGTGTCCTTAAGTGAATCTAAGGGTTAATCTAGTAAGATAGTAGTGGGACTAGTCGAAGCCTAGGATAAAAACTAAGTATATAAGTCATAGTCTTATATAT